GATTGGTGAAAATATGCTTTAGTCACTTCAGAGTATAATTCTAGAAAGCTTTGTGTCCTCTAACCATATTCCAGTAATGTACCTCAGGATGTGTTTAATTTCAAGATGCAGTATAATATTTTTCCCTGACACAGTGAATAGAATATATGAAATAGATTACAAGGAGTTCAGAATTCTTAGAATTGTTCACCTACCTGGATGTAAAACCTAATTGCTTTCTGCTTGTTTTCAGCCCTGGAGTCTGGTTACGTTCAATGGCACAAATTCAACCTAAGTGGCACGCCACCTGCAAACAAAGCAACACAGAGATTTTTTTCATGCACAGTTGATTCAAGTATCTGTACAATCTATAAGGGAAGGTCAGGGAAGGTTAGTTCTCTGACTGATCAAGGAAAAATCTTATCAGAGGAAAAGGCTGTGGTCAGCTCTTCCCTCCCACACTGATTCCAGCATCTGCAGTTCTTCAGCCCTCTCCCTCAACTTCAGAACTGCCATGCCCTTGTTTGGTGTATATAATTTCTCATGGCATAGAGAATCCATTACTGTAATAAAATCTGGAGTATATTGCTATATTGTCTCCTTTCCAGTATAACATTCAAGCTTAGATCTAGCTTGAGACAGTTTGCTGACATACATGAAGAAATAATCACAAATTTGAACAATAATCTTCTAAGCATTATTGTATTTCAGCCTATGTCTTATAAAAAGTTACCCACTCTCCCTTCTTCCTCTTCAGAAGGAAAATTCAGTATTGATAATGCAACATATACACCAATAGTTTGCAATCAATTTCTGAATTGGTTGCCTTTGCCTGGTAGATACCCAAAACATTTAATGGTTTATAGTTTCTTGACTACTCTATTCAGTTGTACCCACTGTTTCATGCATTTCATGCCTGCTGTTTTCAGACTATGGAAACTCAGAATCCACTGTGTTTTCCCTCCTCATATTCCAAGAAAAGCAAAAATTGTCTCCTGTAGGTCAGTCCTCATTTGTAGGCACTAGAAATGTACCCTCACTAGTAGAAGGTAATTTCCTAAGAAACTTGGGGTTTTTTTCACCCGTATTATATACACAGTCTTATAACTGCAAATGATCATGAAATGCTTTTTCATTAAGGAGATAGATTTTTTGTTCTTTCTGTCATAAGAGTGTATATACCTCTTTCTCACTGTAGTGTCTATAAATTTGAGTAGTCCTAAGCCTCCTACTGGACAGCATTTCAGCAGGTATTAGCCCTGGTTTCCTGGGTTTGGCTCTTCCATTAAGTAGTGCCCAAAAGAGATCTGAATTTTTTTAAGGGATGCTTAAGAAAAATTTGAACCTGAACATGAATCTTTATATTTCTGAAACATTAAAAGAGCTCAGTATCATTTTCAGCTCATCATTACACAGTGGATATGCTGTGTCCAAACAAAAACGTACACATTTACAGTATTTGTAAAAGAACTACATTAATTTGTTCCATTATCTATTATTCCCACATTTGATATGCTAAATTTAGCAAATATAGATGACATCGGGTAAGTTATTAGCAGCTGTATTTTCAGATAACATCATTTCTGGATACCTGGATATCCAAATCAAGTAAGTTCTTGAAAGTAGTAGTTCTCATAAAACTATGCCAATTTTGAGCTGTAATTTAAAGTTTCTTTAATTACCATCACAGGCTCTATTTGTTTACAAATAGTGGGGTATATATTTCATATTTTTATTATTTTTGCATCTTCACTCATCTGAGGCAAACAGTGCAATTCTAATTTGTCTTGTGCATTTTTTCACACGTGAATATTTTTAAAGTATCGAGTTTAGCCATCTTTGAGATTTTAGGTACAACCTGTTTAGTATCTTTGAATAAAAATGACAATGAATAAGAAATCCTATTTCAGAGTTGTTTTAAAGACTAGGTATGCAGCAAATAAGCCAGCAAAAATTACATCTTGTTTAATGGCATCTGCACTAACATACTATGAGTTGTCTGAAGTGATTGAGTATTTTCAACTACAACATCATACTCCGGTGTTTTTTCTGTCTCAGTTTTATTCAAACCTCCAGCCTGTGGTCTCTTCCAGATTTTCATGTGTGTTGTAAGGGATGTAACTGCAACCAAGAGAATAATGTCAGCAACTCAAGTCTACTAACACTCATTTTGCAATAACTAATGATTTATTGCCAATTTTTGCTACCAGTTGCTGCCAGTTTATATCAGACCATGATTTTTTTTGTATAAAGACACTAGATTTTCTAATGTTTGTCCTTTACTTAAGGCTTTGCTCTCATATGCTAGAGATTCCATATGAGTGCCAGGCCTCTGTAAAAATACTGCCTTGAGGTTTTGTTAAAGGTTTTGCATATGTTTATTATGGTAAAAGCTGAAAAATGGAGCCTTTCATTATCAACTGTGTAGAGATTTTTCAAATACTTTCCTGGCATGCCATGTCCATTGTACATTTTTAGTCACTAAAGCCTTCAGGTTAATAACCCTAGTGTCTGCTTCAGAAACAAATCTCCTAAGAAAACATATCATTCCAACAAACCTCTGTATGCGTTCTTTTCGTGTAGATGGAAGGATATTGACAATTGACAGTATAATATTGGAAGCCATCTCCACACTGTTTCCTTGAACTTGTTTTATTTTTGAATAATTTTTGAATTTTTTTTGGAACTATTTCTTTACTTCTCAGTTTACAATTTACTGAGGGAACCATGAGATCTCTTTAGAGCTTTTTGGGGTTTCTGGTTCTTCCCTTCCTTTCCCCATGAGAATATCATCCATGTAAATCAATATTATAAAGCATCTTTTTTACATCTTTGTGAAATACAACAGGTATATAGCATAACTGAAAGAACATTCACGGTAAAAGTAATAATAGCTTCCAAATGGTGTGTTAAAATGTGCAGATGTAATTTTTTTTTTTTTTTTTTTTTTTCTGGAGAAATATGCTGGAACTCAGAAGAAGCATCTAATGTAGGAAAAATATCTTGCAGCCAAAAATAATCTTTCTTCATACATATGGGAAAGTATTGCTGATTTACACTTTTCACTTCTTAGAATGTAGGCAAAGAGTTCTGTATTTCTTTTCCAAAATTTATAAAGTACTAATTTATATCACAGCCTCTTCAAATGCCTCCATTTCATCTAGTTCATTTGAGAGATTCAGGGATATTCATAGGCACAGGTATAACAGAACAGTGAGGGTCTAACACTGTATTTTAACAACTTTTCAGCACCACCAGCTTCTCCTAAAAAACATGATCCTCTATCATCTTGGGGCTTCTGCTCCTCTCCAGTGTATTCTTTCACAAAGAAACCTAGGATCTGATCTGAAGTTACTATTCTTATTTCCCACAAGTATTACAGATGTTAGCTTTTCAATATTTTGTTTTAATCTTGCATTTGTAGATCACTAACCTCACTGCCTGATTTAAGTTTTACCTGCCTGCATTTTAACAATACAAAGTTTTCTTTGCAAATACTTCCAACAGCTTCAGAAATCATGTTATCTTGGGCAGAAATCTATGAGTAATAGGGAATCAGAATTTAAAAGTCAAACTTCTTCACAGCTACCCAGGTATTTTCTTTTTGCTGAGACCTTTCTTTTCCCTGTAAATGCCAAATTAACAAAAGCATCCGAGGGTGGGTACATGAGGGTCAGGAGGGTGTGTGTTGAGAGTGACATCAACTGAGACAATAAAAGGGCTTCTAAGTTACTTAGAAGCTCTATTTTAAAGTTACATTTAAGAGGTCCACCAAACCAATTCAGTAGTCTTTAAATATACTTGACATCAAGAGACAGTCATCTGCCGACATACCCAAACCAGAAATCTGTTTAAGATACTATCTGGTAAGTATACTCTATTTTATTTCCAAGTTCTCTAGAAGACTTATTTAGAAAATTTTATCATTGATTCTTTATTCATTTTTACATTAGCTTCTTTTCAGACTATCTTAAAAATAAAATGAGTATTAGTAACATCAAACTGCTTTATTATCTGAACCAAATTTGTGAAATTAAAAAATCTGAGACAGTGAGTTAGAAATATCTTGAAGTGAATCCAACTCCTGTATTTATAATAATGGGTTAGATGGACTGCTCAGACCACAGTCATACTATCATGTAAGATACCATGTAATAAAAGCTTTTCTGACCTAGAGTAAAGCTGCAGAAAATATTGCAAAAATGGCATTGTGGAGTTTTATATTTCTTAATTTTCAGTTACTCTGTATCAAATTTCTTAAGATAAAACAAAAAGTTGCCTTTTCTGGCTGCCAATACTGAAAATCCAAATTGGAAGCCAATAGTCGGACTGTATGATTTCTGCCTGTTGTAGCATCATCAGTAATGAATTTTTTTCAAATATATCCTAAGTGGCAGTTTTGCTGATGATGTACAAAGCAGAGTGGAATTCATACTGGCAATGCAGGATTACCACTGAAAAAAATGAGGGGATCAATTCTGATTTTTCTCATGTAATTAAACAGGGAATGACATAACTCAGCAGAGTTATGCCTCTATGCAAAATTGTCAAGAGCGTCAGGCTCTTCATTCTAAAGAATATGCAAAAGAAATAGATAAAAGAACAAAACTTTTCACTCGCATAGCTATAGACAAGTATTTCAACATACTTGGAGCATATAAAGTATAAATTATTTTTAAATAACAATAATAATAATAGTAGTATTGGAAGAACACAGTGTTTTTCACTCATTTATCCAAGAGATGGGTACCTATATGGTGATGATGCAGGGCAACTAAGGCTGACTAAGTTCTTAGACTTGCCTATGAAGTAACAGTAAGTTGTTCGCAAAATTAGCATTAGAACTAAATTCCTCATTTGCATTCCTTGTCCTAACCCGTTGCAAAAAAGATATATTTTTCAAAATCCATACTCTGATGTCTTTCTTCAACTTTTTTTCTAAACTGTATTTCTTTGCAATTAACAGAAATTACTTGAAATACAGATTTATACATGTATTCATTTCTACCTTTGTAGACAAAATGACTTCTATGAAAAATCTGGCCAGGACTGCAATCATTTTATATGCCATATGCTTTTTTACAAACTCGGATGGAAGACCAATGATGTAAGTACATTATTATACACTTCCAAAGTTTGGAATATGACTTCAGCTGTTCTTGAGAACCTGGTTGGCTTGTCTGTATGTAAGTTCATGTGTATGCGAGCCTTTCTGTTGCTGCGTTTGAACCCTTTGGCCAACCTGGCCAAATGCTGTCCTCTTGATACAGCTGTAGATATTGCAGATACTCTGAGTTCTTACACATTTTTTGAAAATAGGCAGCTGAGTAGAGGGAGAAAAAATATATAAATGTTCTCTTAGGAATATAATTGGGTAAGCTGCATCTCTTATTAGATGCTTGGGGGGGTTACACAGGAAAGCATCTACTGTGCAAGAATCTGGCTGGAACTCACATTTAGGCACTAACGTCAATCAGCATTGAGACACAAATCCACAGGAAATCATGCTCCCTTAGCTCTGGTGTTCATAGAAAACTACCACAGAAAAATTTGCCATAGTTTTATTAATCAGTTACCTGTTATCGTATAAGCCCTAAGCTTATCTACGACAGCTAAAATAAATTATATAGTCAAACAATACTGTCACAAAACTGGACTACTTGCCATTTTTGTTGCCTTCTCACTAATATATCCATTACCAACAACAAATCACCAGTCACCCTCCGTCTCTTCTCCAGATGTCATTCTACCCCTTACAAATTAGAAAGGTAGGTTCTACAGCTCTATCGCGGTACCTCACAAAAGTTCTCAGACCTGGGCTTTTGAGTAAAGATCTAGAATTCAAGAAGGGCCACTATGAGTCTCTTTGCTTTTCTTTCATGCAGGAAAAGATCAGTGAGTGAGATGCAATTGATGCATAATCTTGGAGAGCATCGACACACCATGGAGAGACAGGACTGGCTTCAGATGAAACTGCAGGATGTGCACAGTGCCCTCGAGGATGCTAGGACCCAGAGACCCCGAAACAAGGATGATATTGTCCTGGGTGAGATAAGAAGTCGGAGGCTGCTTCCTGAGCATTTGCGGGCAGCAATGCAGAAGAAATCCATCGATCTGGACAAAGCTTACATGGATGTCCTCTTTAAAACAAAGCCATAATGAAAAAAGCCAGAGCATTATGTCTGTCCAAGTAAGCACATGTCTGTATATCATTGATCAAATAGGGCATTTTATTCTTATTTATTCAAACTGCAATGAGGATTAAAGGCTCCATTCAAGATTGTAGCCCCATTGAGTTAGACATTTCACAACCAAATAATAAAATATATTTACAGTCCACCCATGACCATTGCTGCTAATTTCTGGGTATCTTTTAAATGGCTAATGTATCTTATAAATTTCCAGCATAAAAAGTAAAAGAAACCCAAAAGAGTATGCAAGTTGAAAAAATCATTTAAGGCCAGTTCTACTACTCTTAGGTGGACAGCATTTGTATTTAATCACTAGGCCTACTTGTTTTGTTAACCAACAATGAATAAATGCAGTAGAACCTGTCTCCAGAATAGGGCAGCATTTTGCCTAGGGTTAAGTTCTGTTTAACGAAATTTTATAAAATTAAATTCACATTTATTTTCAGAAGAAGGCCTAAGATCAGATGAACATTAATTACATAGCAAAAGCTGCATGATAATAATTTAGGATTAAAGAGTGCAAACATAAAAATTTAAAGTAGGAAGGCAAGGCTTAAGATTAAAGTACAATGGGATAAAATTAAAAAAAATTCTGTATGAAACAGAAGAATTGAATTTTGCAAAATACTGAAATGCAGGGAAGGTTTGATTACCTTCCCCTCTTCCAAAAGATGATAGCCTATAATTAACTGCAGAAACAGTGGGAGCAGGGATGGTTGCACGTATCTAAGCATGGCCCTAACTATAGAACTGGGAAATGATTCTATACCAGCCAATTAAAATTGAAACAAAAATCTTGCAATATATATTTTTTGTCCCTCATTTTCTCTGTAAACTATCTATCTCTAAACTTCTGTATGTTATGTTAAGCCTCATGTGTAAGTATTTTTTGTTTGTGAGACCAGTGGTTCTCATAAATAAATTTACTCAATTTCATATGCAATTTTTTTTAGAATTGGAATCTCAGTTTGCTAAATCCCCCAAATGAGAACCATGAACATGCAGAAATCAACCTGGGAGAGAAACCATTAGCTGTAATATATTCAAAACTCTAAGCAGGACTCAAAAAGAATAGGACATAAATATGGATGGGAAAAAATAATTATGATAACAATAATTTCAAAAAGCAGCAAATACAAAATTATTTTGAATGGTATATGCACATATGTGCTTAGGACCCTCAATCATTTCTGACTAATAAGAATGTTTTCTCAGTAGGAATAATGGTGGTTGCCTCCAAATTTGCCATTGCCAGAGCTCAAACCTAGATGAATTGCTGCTCTAACCCAAAGTGTCTGCACATATGTACCCATATAACTTCTTATTTGTTTGTCTGATGTCTAGCACACCTTGGGGAACCTAGTAAAAAACTCATGAATCATTACAAATATAAATGCAATCTGCTGGAGGCTAGAAAGGTACTTGTAACTAGTGAACTATAGTTCATAATCTTGGCTATACTTTTAGTAATGTAAAGGCCCTGATGCTGCAAGCAGATGGTATGCCTGTGCACATCAGTGCGCCACACTCACAGGCAAGGGTTCCATGTCACTTGTCTATTTGTAGAATCGAGGCTTTAAAGTGCACTTTCTATTTATTCTTTTATCAGACATCTGTGCTAACTTAAAGAAATTCAATTGCATTTTTGTACTTATGTCTCACTTATGTATTACCAAATAAAGTGGACCAAAAGCTCTTGGACATTATTTCAAAGCATAATAACTGAGTGACCTGTAACTATTCTGATATAATTTAGCGTTTGGGGCAAGACTGTTAAGCCATTTTATTTTATTACAGCAATATAAATACAAAAATAATGATGAAAGCAATTTTTATTTTTCCTTCTGTGTTTCCTGAACACAAAATCATACTGATGGTTAAGCAAAAGGTGCTTACCTAGCACAAACCTATTTATGTCCCCTTACAATAATGACACGTGCAGAAACTATACAATCTTCAAGTGCCAAATTCATAAACTGTTCCATTTTGATCTACACAAAGAATTCTATTATCTAAACAAGTTGTTCTTCCTAATCTTCATCTATCTAGTAGATGAAAGATGTTTACATGAATATTTAAATTTTCTGTACACTTCAAAAAATACTTGTTGCTTACAAAGGGCTTCAGAGTCAGAGACAGACAATGCACCGCTGAACATTATTTAGCTAGAAATACGACTACAGACAAACTATGCTCAGCACTGTCTCATTTATGGCTAAAATAATTTTCGCTTTGCCCACATACAGTATGACTCTTCAGAAGGACTAAAGACAGCACAGTAGCAGATGAATTAGTGCTAGGTAATGCCCATTAGAAAAAAGATGTAAATTGAATGAAATTACATACTAATGGCAATTATCTAGAAAACAGATTTGTTACAGTTTTTCAGCTTAAACCTCTGATCGGTGTAGCAGCAGGCAAAACAGCAAAATGTTCATAGTGGGGCAGAGGGTGTTATCAAAAATATTTTAATACCATGGTATATTGCAAAGATTCATCTTCAGCTGGACTAACATCTGCAATTTTGGTCATCGCTTTCACAGATCAAGGGGACTAGAAAGAGGTTGCTAAGAAATTATAGGGCCACTGAAACACTTATATGTGATAACAAATGGTAACAACAGCAGTCAGAAAAGAAATAAATAAAAAGAGGCATGATAAATATATGATGAATGAACAGTACAGAGAGATAAATGGTACTGCCTACCTATATTTCTAAGAGAACAAGGAAAGAGAAGTGAAGAATGGAGCTTGCACATGGCTGAATATGGAGCTTTTAGCTAGTATGAACCAAAGTCTCATCTCCAGCCAACATCTCTGGAGAAGGCAGTGGCACAACTCTTGGGTATGCTCAAGTTCTTTTCCCACGCGTGCACTGGAACGTACCTTAAGTCTACACCAGGTTGTGTACTTGCATGCAAACAACGTAAATACTAAGCGAGCCTGCACTTCACAATAGACTCAGACATGTATGTGACTGCCAGAGGAGACTTCCTATGTCCCCTGTTATAGTGAGATAAAGTCAGGAAAATATTAGGTCCACCTCCCTTCACATCCACAAAGATGGGGTGTCTCTAGAAGGCCTCTTTCCTTCCTGAAGAGTGTGGTTTCTACGCGCATACTTACTTTCAAGGCAGGAAACCTTGCTTTATGACCTGACTAGGACTTTTTGCTAAGACCTGTGTCCTCAAAGACCTATCCTGTGCAGACCGATATCTATTGTACACATATGTTTATTATGAGGTTCTAAGTCAAAAGAAATATAATTGTGTCTCTCACTCATGACTCATTGAAACAAGAAGCACTAATATTAATATCCATCCTCAGGAGAAGTAAAACAGTAGCATGTGAAAAAAACCCAACCCCATGCAAAATTAACAAAGCCAAAATCACAAGAACTCCTAATAAAAACTAGCTAAATTGTAAGATCTGTAGGTAGAACCTACTGCTGGTGATGTAACTGCTAGTAATTTGGCTTTCTTAGCTGATTCTAACTTTGGCTGCTGTTTAATACTGCTGTTTAATAATGCTCAGCTGACTGTTAAATAGCACGTAACATCTGACTCCTTGCCTAGTTAGTGCATTCTAACAGCTTTTGTGCGGGCTGCTTGGCTGTCATTTTTCTGCTGGTGGATTTCTAGAACTGTGTGGTTTATCTCTGTGGATGGAAAAGAGAATTCGTTTAAGAGATTCATGTTTTGCTGTATATTGTAGCAAAGCTTGTGTCTTTTATGGGGCATTCCAATATAGCAAAGACACGAATCCTTGCTCTCTTGCCCGCTCCTTCCCTGCTCTCCCCGATGAGCATAAGGTGCACAACTTGTCTAATATTCCCTGCCTGAAGCAGTCACATCTGCTAATGCATCAGGCAAGTCCAGAGGTGTATATTTCCTGAATCTTTAGATTAATACTTAGGTGTTCCTGAAAGAGGAGGATGCTCTGTAAAATACGTAAGAAGCACGCAATAGGGGCATTCGCTGTAGAGTTCCAGTGTCTGGAATCTGATAGGAAATTTGTCAACTTCCTCCAAAGGTTAAGTCAGAACCCCTGCTCGAGGTGAGCATCCTCATCAGCGGGATATAGATTCATGTTCCCTCTTACCTCCATGTTTTCCCTGGGAGATTTGGTCCAACAGTGGCATAGAATAGCATTTTATGAGACTCTGAGAAGAACCTGTACATGGTGGTTGATCTTCACAGCGGGGCTGCCCCAAAATATCCAATGTGCACTCAAACTGGCTTGCCACAGGGCACAAAGGAGAACAGATAAACATTTGAAAGTTTGGGCAGAGATTTTCTCCTTCTGTTCCTCCCAAACTCTCCACTAATTCCATTTTGCTTCAGTATACTTATTGTCTAGAGTTCTGCAGTCCTTTCACCTGATAGGGAAGTCAAGATCTGCCTGTCTTTAATAATGATGCTATAGAGGATATCTTAGAAAAGAGACAAATGTATTTAGATCTGAATAAAGTGGGGCTTGGTATTGTTTTATTCTCCCCCACGAGGACTGCAAAGGGCTTAAGTGTCATCTTAACAACTCATAACACTTCAGTACACTGAAGCTGTCAGCAGTGCGGGACATGATAGTTCTGCTGGGGTATTATGGAATGAAAGCCACATCCACTAATGATATTCCTAAATAGACTGCAGGTTACACGGACTCTATATAACCGATAGGGCTGTACAAACCTGAAAATCAGAGTTCTAATTTAAAACAGGAATCGTTTTTAGGATGAAGCTTGAGATAGCTAAGATGTCAGCTCATCTAGGTTAACTGTGTTACACCCTTCTTTGGTTTTTTCTTCTACGCCAGGCAGGGACAGACTGATGACGGTGCCAGAGTACCACGGGGCTAGACTAGAGGCCTAGGTGCTGGGTACGTGCTGCCATGTAAAACCGGTAACGGTTGTTCCTCA